GAGTTAAAGAGAGCAGTTGGAGGGGGTGAATTCAAGAATGACATATTTAATACATTTTAAGAATCTTTGTAAATGCTATAGTGTACCCTCCACTCAGCACAACAATAATAATTTTTTTTAAAAAAAAAGCCCTCGAAAACAGTTCAGGAAAACCTGAACTGTAATTGATGAATTGCTGGAGACTCTGTGTGGATAAGTCTGAGAGTTAAAATCAACAGACGATCCCAGCCATGGAGAGACCCACACTTTTGTGAGTTTCACCTCTAGAAGATCAGCCAGGTTCTCACAGAGAATATCAGGAGGGAAAAATTCCCCTCATGTTTACATCAAGAAACAGAAAAAGGAAACATTTTTTAAACATTCCAGAACAGTTTTTTGTGCTTAACAAGGCCTGCTGTCAGAAAAAAAACTGCTTTACGAAGGTTTCAACTAATAGGGCTTTTTCCAGAACCTAATCAATTTAGGGAAAGAGAAATAATCCAACCCCAGCCCTCTCCAACCACTCTGTCCCACCACAGAGGGAGGATTTAGAAGCCCTTGTCGAGTTTACAGTCTGGAGGTTCTGTTTCATTAAAAACCTGAGACATCATCAAAGTATAAGGTGTTTCCTCTCTTCCAAGTCTTACCACCACATCAGTAAAGGCCAATTTACTGGTGCTCCTTTTAGCCAGTGCATCATGTCTGGCTGTCAAGAAAACAAAATTACAATTCAAACCAAAAAGGAAAATATATGCAACACAGTTTAAAGAAACAGAGCAAATATCAGAACCAGACTCAAATATGGCAGGCTTGTTAGAATTGCCAAACTAGGAATTTACAGCATTGAAGCCCACATTAGAAAGGATCTAAAATCAGTAATCTAAGCTTCCACCTTAGGAAACTAGAAAAAGAAGAGCAAATTAATTCCAAAGTATGCAGGAGAAAAGAAATGATAAAATGAAAGTAGAAATTAAGGCATTTGAAAGTGAAATGGCCTATTTATTGTCCTGTATAACTGCTGTTTTAAAATTTCATCATACTCAGTTTCTGAATATTATTGATCTGTTTATTGATCTACTCGAAACTCTCTCTCTGTAACTCCACCTGTCTCACTCACTGTGACTAGCCTCAGTCATCTGCACCTCGGTCAGTGGCACCACTGGCTCCTCATTGGATATGGAGAGTTGAGAAGGGTTAAGGAGGGTTAAAAGAACATCACTGGGTGATGGAGTGGGTATGGGCGATGAGAGAGCTGGAGAGTTAAATATGTCGTAGTGTCAGCCAGTGAAATAGGAAATGCTGGAGGAGTTTCAGGTTTTGTAAGAAGAGATCATACTTTGCTTCTGGATATTTGGAACTTAAATGCATTTAAGACACTTGTGATTTTCAATAATCACGCCCTCCCTTGACCCAGTGTCCTCTGTCCTGCCTCTTGCACTCTAACTTTCTACCTTTTGGCCATAGCACATCATTTCTGTCCCTGGGACACTCACCCTGCAGTTGTCCATTTACGCATACTATTCTGTTCAAGTGAATCATTCATCAGTCACCACCCCACATGCAAAAAATGTTCTGCTCCTACTGAATCCTGCTCCTACTGAAACATCAAGATGAAAAGTGAAATCTACTAAGAACCATACCCAGCTCACCAAAATAGAATTAATTATCCCCTCCTTGCTATTTCTATAACATTTTATGTATTATTCAGTTTTGGAACTTTCCATATACCTTGTATTGTTTTAATTTGTGTTTATATCTCCCACTAAACTGAAACTCATTGAATGAAGGGTCTAAATTGTACTCCACTACAATAACCCCACAATATTAGGCAATGCCTGGAACATAGTGAAGTCTCAATAAATATGGGTTGGGTTGAAGTGCACACCTACATTTGAATTAAAACAACATTGATTTTAAGTCATTCTAAAGAAAATTCCAAAATCTGTAGCTATCACTTTTGATAAATGTAGCTTTTAAAAAAAATCATAATTTGTTTCTGGGTGCTGTGGCTCACAAACGTAATCCTCAATACTTGGAAGGTCGAGATCAGGATGATCACAGCAGGGGCGTGACTCAAGTGGGACAGCTGCTGTCTAACCAGGGTGAGGCCCTGAGTTCAAATCTCAGTACCACCCCCCCCCAAGAAAAAATTCTTTTCTTACAATTCTACTATATGATATTTGGCAGGTAGCTAAATCTGACAAATCAATTTATACATATTTAAAAAAAAACAATATAGATATTTAATGATATATAAAAATTATAGAAACATTTAGATGTTCTTGTGAAAACTCTAGGGATACTTACTCATTTTAAGAAATACCCAATTCAGGACTGGCGGAGTGGCTCAAGTGGTAAGAGCATGTGCCTAGCAAGCATAAGGCCCTGAGTTCAAACCCCAGTGTCTCCAAAAAAAAAAGAAAGAAATACCCAATTTACACTAAGAAAAATCATCATTCAGAGATTTTTTTTTTCTACTCAAACAAACCTGAAAACATTCAGTTTGTTTCAGGCAAACATGAGTATCATGTTAGGGTAATAGTAAAGATTCAAACCAGCAGTTGTCTTTTACAGCTTTGTATCCAGACACAGGAAGATGAACAAAACTTAGTTTCTGCCCTCAAGTTTCTCACAGTCTGGCAGAAATATGAGCATGTATGGATCTAATTAAATGTGAAAACTTCTCCACTTGTGGTGTATTCTCTCTGGAAATTTCCTGGAATGACTACAGAGTGAATGGATTTGAGCCTATCTTTGAGGGATAAGTAGAATTTTGCCAGGTATAGAAGGAAAATGATTCCAGGTAGAGAAAACAGAATGACCAAAATTCAGAACCTTGAAAATACTTGGCCTGTTGAGAGATGATGGGCAGTGATGCCAGGAGGGTTGTGCAGGATTCTGAAGGCCATGAATTCTATGCCAAGGAATTTTTAATTGAGCTATAGAAAATGGGGAGCCCTGTGGGGTTTTTAATCATCACAGTAGCCAAATCATTCTATTTTTGACAGCTAGTACCAAAGCATTGTGCAGGATGACCTCACAGAAGACAAGGGAGGATAGTAGCCAGCTAAACATCAATCTCCCTGTTCTTTATCACCTACTCCCTGTCATTTTCCAGCATCAGTCTTTAGCTGCCAAATGGACCCATAAAAATAGATGAAAGTCCTGTGCCATTCACTTTGGTTAAATGGATAATTGGATTTCTTTCTCTATTTTCTTAAAAAGAATATATAAAACCAGTGACATGAATCTCTTTGGAAATGGTGGGGGGGGGTATAAATAAGATGATACCTGTTTGATCCAGCAAATATAGAGACCAAGTATGTACAATCCTGATGGAAGTTGGAGAGAAATATATTCACTCATTCATTTGATTAACATTTATTGAGGACCTACTATGTTCTAAATGATCTTCTTGTTCATAAAACACAATGGAGACCCAGAGATAAAGTCTCATGAGTCTTGGAGCTCACTTTCCAGTAAGGAATAATTTAACTAAATTGTCTGCACAAATAGGTACATAATTATAAATCTTTGCATATGCTATAGGATGATTAAGAAAATTTAACTAAGAATTGCAGATAGGAGTAAGATCTTGTTCCTTTCATTAGACACAAGTCCTTCATCAGGTATGTGATTTACAAATGCTTTTTCCACTCTGTGGCTTTGCTTTTTATTTTTTTAACAATGCTTTTTGAAAAGCAGAAGTTTTGAATTTAGTGAAGTCCAATTTAACAAATTTTTCTTTTACAGGAGCTCTTGTTGTTGAACACAAGGATATTTAGATTTTCTTCTATGTTATCTTCTATGAGTTTTATAGTTTTACATTTAGGTATGTGATCCATTTTGAGTTAATAATTGTGAAAGGTGTAAGATCAATGTCTCAGGTCACCTTTTTTTTTTTTTCTTGTTGCATGTGCTTATCAAAACCTCCTTCCATGGAGCATGGAGTCAAACATCTGAAGAAACTAAGTGTAAATAATTTTTGAGAATTTTTGCTATAAGGCAAAGAAAGGAGCAGTAAATGGAGGAAATTGGAAGTTGGGGGAAGGTAGTTTGCTGTTGTTTGTGAGATGAGTAAGAACCAGTAGGAATGATATCTTATAGCAAAGGAGAGGGAATGGAAGTGAGTGCACAAAAGGAGCTGTTGGCCTTAGACAGCTCCTCAATTTTCTTCTTTTTTTTTTTCTTTTTTCAGCACTGGAGATAAAACCCATGACTCCACATATGTTAGGCAAACACGGTACCGCTGAGCCACCACCCTATCCCCAGTGGTTTTAATTCTCTAAGCATTGAGAAACCATTAATGTTTTCTGAGGGAATGCTATGGTTCTTACAATGTTCATACTCTGTTTATTCCTTTCTCTTTGTACCAGTGAACAAACCAAGTGCATAAAAGTATGCCCCAAAATAACACAATTCTCCTCAAAATAAACTGGAACCATCATGCTTATCTCAGTAACTTCTCCAGCCTTCACATCACCTCAAGATCTTCATGCTATTTCTGAAAGTCACTGAAGTGTTCCACTTTGAAAATGCATTTTCTAGTACCTAAAATCAAATTTTACATACATTGAACCTTTTGAAAAGTTACAGTGGGATTTATTTTGTATTCCCATTAAATTTCACAGTGTAATTTTTTAAAAAATAATCAGCATACTTTGACCACCCCTGGCCTAACACCAACCTCAGACAAAACTGTAAAGCTAATGAATTCAACTCTTTCAGACATATCACTTTGAAAAGATTAAATAATGCATAGGAATTTAGAAGAAGCTTTAAATTTTTAGCAAATTAAACATATTTCTTGATAGAAGACATAGACCCTGCTGATCATTCATTCATGAAGTAAGTTCCATATACTACATTTTCCCAATGGAGAGAGTGCACTAGTGTATTTGCAGGTATCATTGAATTTAATATATAGCATCATAGAGTTTTTCAGACCCTTATGTATCTAAAACTTCCCTCTGGTCTGATCCATAATGAGTTCTTAAATCAGAAACGTTTTTTCTCCACAGACATGAACGCATTCACACCAAGAAAAGCAACTTAAACAGATCTTTAATTTCTGATCTGAAGGATGTAGATGATTTGGCAACTTTGGATATTTTGGATGAGGTAAGAATTGAGTTTAATTAAATTTAGACATTTTGTATTATTTTAAATATGGAAGTGATGCGCATGTTTTCTTTGGGTCTTAACTTTATAATTACCTCTCCTATCTTAAGTTTTAGTCTCATGTCAATTTTTTTTGGTGCTCAAGTGACAAAGGTGTAAGGTCTCCAAAGCATGAATTATTAGGTCACAGACCTTTCTTCTAAGTCTTAATCATTTCTGAGAGTCTTAAAGATTTGCTGTGTTCAAAAACCAGTCTGCCCCTTACAACTACCATGTGTCCTCTTCCCTCTTTTTCCTCTCCTGTTCCAGCTCTCAGTAGCAGGACACAGAAGCCTCTGACTCCTTGAGAGCCTTTCTGGTACCATGATCAGGGTGACCCTCACAGGATCACAAAGCTCTGGCTCACACTTTTAGGCATTGAATTCTGCTTGGGACTTCTTATTCCAATTACTTCAGAAGCGTTGCAGAATCTCTAGTGAAGGTACAAATCCAAGCCAGTAAATTAGAGTCTCAGCCTCCTTTCCCCTCTCTATATTCCAGATGATCAGATCATTAGAGAAGAAGATGGCCTCTTTTCAGTAAAGTATGCAATTTCTATCCTGCCTGGTCAAGAGCTTCTTATTTTTTAATACTTCTGATTCATGCTTGAGAGTTTTACAGAAATGCAACGAATATAAAAACACATAGTTTAGTCCATGTGTTGAAGGCCTGGTTGCCATTTCGTGGAACTATTAGGAGGTGATATAATCTTTACAAGGTGGGGCCTACTAGAAGTATTGGGTCATTGGAGGACATGCCTTGGAAGAGGACTGTGGGATCCTGACCCTTTTCTCTTCCTGTCTCTGCTTCCTGGCTTGTGAGGTAAATGAATTTTCTCTGTCACACACTCCCTACATGATGTGTTGCCTCACCACAAGCCCAAAAACAATGGGGCCAATCAACTATAAACCAAAACCTTCAAACCTATGACCCTAAATAAACCCATCTCTCTTTATAAGTTGATTCATCTCAAATATTTGTTACAGGAGTGGAGAGATGACTAACACATAGTCATCAAGTAAATGTAGGGTTTATAAACAACTCAAGTACTTCCTCAAAATAATCTCTGTCAGGAATATGAAACATCTTGAAATCAAATAGTCTTTACAAGTCAGAGATTGCTGATACCATTCTGAATCTGTACATATCAAATCTCCTAATCTGTGAATTCCTAGATTTGTGGATTATAAAGTTTTCATTAAGCACATTGTTGACCAATACACTAAATGTTGGGTTTATATGTATTAAATATTGGGTTTCTTTCTTTCTATTATGTTTAAATTTTTGACCTTTTTTTGACCTAAGGTCTTTTGTTCCTGTTTTGTGTTATGCATTATCAACCATGACTTCTGACCCTATTAATATTGATTCATGTGCTCATATGTTTAACTATAAAAGTTACTTTTCTGAATATGTCACCTTTCTCATATAACCAAATGCCTGAGCAGAGGACTGGAACATTCCACAAAGCCACTAAATCACCTTGATATGAAATAAAATCATGTTCACTAGCTCTTCCCTTCCCTTTTCTGGTCTTCTTTCTCTTTACTTCATCAGCTGTATTTGCATATTTCTTTGAAAAATAAATAGTAAATAATTTAATATGTCAGATGTAACATTTAATGCATTACATGTATCTTTTTTGCTTAAAATTTTTATTTATTTTAGTTAACAAGTCAAAATTGTGTATATTTATGGTAAATAAATGTTCCAATATGTGTCTATATTGCAGAATGGCTAAATCAAGTTGTTAGCACATGCATTACCTCATATATCTATTTTTTTGTGATGAGAACATGTAAAATCTACTCTAAGCAATTTTTAAATATACAATATTTTGTTATTAGCTATAGTCACCATGATATATAATAGAACTTATTCTTGAACTTAGTTGCCTAACAAATTTTGTGTCAACCAGCATCTCCCTGATACCTCCCTCCCCAGTCTCTGGTAAACACCATTTTATTCTCTATTTCTATGAGTTCTCACATTTTATGCATAAGTGAGATGGTGTAGTATTTGTCTTTCTGTCTCTGGCTTACTTCACCTAATATAATACCCTCCAGGTTGATCCATATTTTCTCAAATGACAAGATTCTCTTCTTTTTGAAGGCTGAGTAATTATATGTATATATATATACATCTACATATATATTCCTCAAAATAATCTCTACATGTGTATATATACACACACATATACACATACATATATACACATATACACATACACGCACACACACACACATATGTACTTATACTCACACTTGCTAGGCAACCACTCTTTTGAAAAATGAAGTTAACAATGACATTCCTTTGTCTCTCAAATCCAAAGAAATCCAAAGTCAGTGTGTGCTTGCAGACCCGTTGTTAAATGTCTTGCTATTATGTCTCTTTCTAACCCTAGGTAATTCCAGATGTTTCATTTATTGCTAATTTCTTTTTAAATGGTATTTGAGCACAAATGACTTTTAATAGAGAGAAGTTATTTTTATTTTTCTGCAGAACACAGTCTCTGAACACCTTGAGAAATGTTATTCCAGGGATCAGATCTACGTCTATGTGGGAGATATACTCATTGCTCTTAACCCTTTTCAGAGTCTGGGTCTTTATTCCACAAAGGTATGTGATGTGGCTGGCATTCTCTTACTTTGTACAAATAATATTACTGTTAAGATTCTTAATTTAAATGGATGCCAACGGAAATTCTGTCCAACACTTTAACAAAACAGTTACATAGTTGTCACTGAAGGACATGGATGGGAAAAATAGGTAATGTCAATGTTCCTGAAGTTTGTGAGCTTTCTTTTTCCAAAATATGTGTGTCAGAATGTTAATTACATCCAATTGCTAGTGACAACTCTATACTACATACCATTTTCCTAAAGGAATATCTGAATATATATACTTCATGTCTGCCTTTGAGCCAAGTATTAGAAAGTCAAAAGTATAACTACATTGTAGATATGTAATACATACATAATGGATATAAAACTTGTCATTTTCATTACATTTCTTTTACATATTGATTGGCTTCATAACTTTCATATGTGTGTTTTATGAATGCAAGTATATAATTGTCAATTATTCAGCCCCTGATGGTTTAAATAGAATTCAGTTGAGTTGTTTTCATTTTTTCTTGGAAGTTCTCTTCTAGCTATTTGTATATTCTATAAAATTTTTAATATTGTCCCTAATTATTATTTTATACATATGAAATATATACATTTCTTATCCTATACCAACATATAATTTATAGAATAATGATAAATTTATGAGCCTTGACCTAGATCATAGGAGAAAGTGGGCTAGTAAAATTCTGCTACCAATTAACCACATGATCTTACACAAATCAAGCAAGACAATACAGGTTAAATGAAGAAAAAGAAAGGAAAAAGAAGTGATGAAATATCAGACATTATTATATTCAAGGAGTAATCAACAATTAACACCCAACTGTCTTACTGATAAAGTATTTTTATTTAAGCAGTTAATAGTATTTTGAAGTCTTCAGTCCTGCTTTGGGAGTGGTATGCAGTCTTTTAAATACCACTGCAATGATGTTATATTATTTTATGTCATATAATATCCCTGGAGTGTTTATGTCAAACTTTTATTTTATGCAATCATGAATACTTTGTTCATATATGTATGTATGCATATATAACACTTGTGTAGTAATGTTTGTTGGCCTGAAATAGTATTTTTATTTACTTTGTTTTAAAAATTAGAATTATATCTGTAAATATCCAGGGTTTAAATAAAAACAGAAATAAAGCCAAAAAGCCCTATAAAATATATTCTTAATTTTAGCTTTCCAGACTATATATTGGAGCAAAGAGAACTGCCAACCCTCCTCACATTTTTGCAATGGCCAATTTAGGATATCAGTCTATGGTCACATACAATTCAGATCAGGTAAGGCGAGCCTCATCACACTTTCAGAAACTCCCTCTTAGTTCTTAGTTTCTGGTGCATCCATTGAGTTTTGTAAGAATGAAGCCTTCTCACAGTTTCTTTTGTCCCTTGTGCAGTGCATTGTTATTTCTGGAGAAAGTGGTGCTGGGAAGACTGAAAGTGCTCATCTTTTAGTTCAGCAGCTTACTGTGCTTGGAAAGGTAGGATTTATTTTTCCTCTGTCCTAACAGAAACATTTGTTATAATCCAGAACTTAATATAACTGGTTAGATTAGTATTTACTAATTCTCACATGGAGTAATACATGGAAATTATAAAACACAATTGTTATTCTTTGAGTTAAAAAATATAATGAACAATATAAAAAGCATATACTTTGTTTTGAAGACATTCCAACTTCAAGTGAGAAATCACTCTTACTAGGCAATTCTTTATAAGTATGATTTTTTTTGTACCTAGCACACTTGCTGAATGCTTTCCCTCCTTTTTTTTAATGACAGGTTAAAATAGAGTTATTAAATAAAAAGCAATTGCATTTATATGTACTGCAGGAAGGCCGCCTTATTCGCAGATTTTATTACACACTGTTTTGACTAAGCACAGTCAAAATAAATAAATAAAAACTTTAAAAACTCAAAAGAAAATCTAAAAAGCAGAAATTTGAAGCTCCAATGCCACATTCCATAGCTCTGTGGATGTGGAAATCTCTCAGTCAGTTACACATTGTCATCAGTTGGGTCTAAATCATTGTGTATTTCCTTGCTCTTGATTTTGTGAAAATACACCTCTCCAAAAGCAAATGGTGCCCCAAAAAAAGGTAAAAGTGCATGTGCTTAATTTAAGTGACAAAATGGAATTTTTATAGGCACTTTACCAATGATAACAGTGAAATAAGTGAAAAGCCCAACACTGCAGTCATTTGGAAAATCAAATTAAAACAACAACTAAGCACCTTTAAATACCAATCAAACTGGAAAAATTGTTTTTAAAATCTGACAAGACAAAGTGCTAACAAGGATCTAGAGCAGCGGGACTTTCATATATTACCAGTGGTACAGCCACTTTGTGGTACAACAAGAGTTTGGATATTTCTTATGAAAGTGAAGTACATTTTCCACCCAACCCAACAATCCCGTTCCTGTCTATTGAGGAAATGAAAACCATGCTCATACAAAAACTTATAGAAAAATATTTCTGAAGACTTTATTAATAAATCCCCAAAGTAAAAGCTAGCTCTTCTAAATAGTGGACTAGTAGTCAGTAACAAAAAGGAACAACACAGAAATAAGCAATGAATCTGATTGAATGAATCTTAAGTGCATTGTGCTGAATCAAATAAACCAAATCCAAAAGATAAAAAAAAATGCATGATTCAATTTGTATGTCATTCTTGTGAATTTAAAACTGTAGAAGCAGAAACAGATTACTAATTTTAAAGAGCTTGAAGTAAAAGGAGGGAGTGACTACAGGATCAAAGTTAATTTTGCACAGTGAATGAATTGCTCCATATGTAGATTGTAGAAGAGGTTACATGGTTATGTATGTTTGTCAAAATTTTCAAAGGTCTATATTATAAAGGTAAAATCTTACTGTATGGAAATTACATCTTAATTTTTTAAAGTTGATGATAGAGATATTGTTTGATTTTTCAGTAGAATCCTTAAAATAAGACAAGAATTATGTGTTCTCATTAAGCTAATAATTAAAATAGGAAAAACCATTGTATGCATGCACCTTACCTTTGTGAGAATTTTTATTATGATCTGCATAATTATAATTAGAGCCAGGCTAAAAGTTTTGCCAGCATCATGATTTATGGGAGTCTTGTGTGACAAAGTACCAGTGGGTACAATGTCAGACCCAATCTCTCTATAAAAGAATGGAACTGCATAGTGCAAAACAACTGCTGAATTGAGTCTAATTCATTTTCAAAATGATGAATAGGAAGAATTCCATGTTTGTGTTGAAACATTAGCCAACTGGTTTTAATAATTTCTATCAGGTGTATAGGTTTAGAGTACAAATGCACTCTACTCAGTGGGTTAATGTGACCTCTGTCCCCTAGATCCCAGTACCCTCAGGGCTGCAGGAGCCAGTAGAGGTTAGGAAGGTGGTGCTACCATAGGCTGTCCTCTCAGTCTCTTCCCATTTTCTTACTCACCTGTCCTTACTTCTAGGATAAGTATTCTAAGAGGTCTGAAGGGCAGTGAAGTAAGATGTGATATGGGCAGGGGGCCAGCGAGGCATAGCATATTGCCTGGCATAGAAGAGCTGAATGCTGGAATTAATTTCCTCAAGGGCCTTGCTATTCTGTCATGATGTGTGAGCCAATAGAGATTATCATCAATAATGAATGAGCTGTGTATGAATGTTTTGTAGATGTCAGCAAATTTGCTAATCTGATCTCTTGTTCTAGATCTAAAAATGTGAGCTAATGGTAATTGTTGTGTCAATCCTGCCCTTATCAAGTGATATCTTGTTTTTTACTAATGTTCTTGATAAAGATTTGCTAGATGCAAAGATGGGATGTTGGTAGATAGAATTTACCTTTGAAATATGCAACCCTCCAGTCCTTATTCACCAGATCACTACATGAAGATTCTACCTCACCTTTAGCATGAGTGCAAGGTAAACACAAAACAACTGTTTAAAAGAGCCAACTTTTAAAAGAGCCAGGCATGGTGGCTCACACCAATAATCCCAACACTTGGGAGGTGGAGCCAGGAGGATCACAGGTTCAGTGCCAGCATGGGCTACATAACTATACCATGTCTCAAAAAATCAAAAGCTCAAAACTATAAATAAATAAATAAGCAAGACAACTTTGTCCCAATGTCTACTACTTTCTTTTCTCACCTCTTTTGCTGCTTCTTTTAGAAGTCTCCTAATATCCTTCTATAGCCTCATAATTTCCTTGTTATTGCCCTTGTAAGAAGTCCACTTATGTTCTAAGGTAGCCACTTATGTTCTAAATAGCTATTGCTTCTCTCCCTCAACTTGCCAACTGTCTACTCCTTTACACAGCCGATCTCAGGGAGGTGTTGTTATAACACTGACAGTAATCTCTTTGAACTAATTTCTACCAAAATGCAAGGGACTGCTGCCCCCAAACATCTAAGAGGTCGGGAGGATGGTCATGCCTTTCTAACAGTGGTTGACTGTTAACCAAAATGAATTTCTATTCAGTGGAATTTCAGGTAAAGTGGTAAAGAAGAAAAATAAAATCTAATATTTGTTTCAGGAAAGAAGCAAAAGACATGGAGTAGGAAAAAATAAGAGGAACAGCCACATTGGCTGCTGGCCTTGCCTACAGTTTCACTCTTCCTGTCCACGCTTCCAAGCTGCTGTTGATGGACTCAGGCCCTCAAACTTGCTAGGCAGGCACTGTACCACTTGAGCCACACCTCCAGCCCTTTTTTGCCTTAGTTATTTTCAGATAGGGTCTTGGGGTTTTTTTGTTTTGTTTGTTTGTTTGTTTGTTTTTGACTGGGTAGGGGGAGGCTCAGAGCACAGTCCTCCTACCTGTGTCCTCTCTCATAGTTGGGGCCATGCCCAGCCCTTTCTTCCACTTCTTAATTCAGAAATTATCTTTGCTCTCTGAGTTTTAAGTTTAGAAGCTTCTGTGAAAGCAAGGAAAATGGGTGGGTTTGGCTTTGGCTGAGGCTAGCAGAGTAAGAATAACAAAACCAGATTTGTATGTCAGTATGGATAGACTGCTTATAAGTTGTGTCTGTAATTCAGACACTGCCCAAAACTGTATTTGAATGAAAAGGGATAGAATATCTCTTCACCCCTTTTGAGAAAGCAAGTGAGTGAATGCACACATGGGAGGGGAATACACACCAGGTTGTAACATCTGGCAATCTACCAAGAATATTATCTCATATGCTTATGTCTTATAGACAAAGTTAATTTTTTACACTTTAAAAAATATCTTGACATTTTTCTCTAGGCTAATAACAGAACCTTACAAGAGAAGATTTTACAAGTGAACAATTTGGTCGAAGCCTTTGGCAATGCATGCACTACTATAAATGACAATTCCAGCCGATTTGGAAAATATTTGGAAATGAAATTTACCACTTCTGGAACTGTAGTAGGAGCACAGATTTCTGAATACCTTCTGGAGAAATCCCGAGTCATCCACCAAGCTATGTAAGTTCATGTCAGATATCTCCTATTTTCTAGGAAACGTAAGCAAAACCAACGATTTCATTTAAATAGTAAAATGTCTTCCTTATCCAACACAATGTTGTTAATAATCTCTTATGTGAAAGGCACTTATTATTGGAAGCAAAGAGACTCCCTCAACACCATCTTACTCTTAAAGTGTGTTGTATCCAGTAGAGGAATTAATAAATAACTTAAAAATTATGCTACCAGACAGAAAACCAAAGCCCATCATAGAGGTACTAACAGAGTAAGCAGAGCAAATTCTCAAATAGAAGGAATATATTTCTCTTTACACAAAAATCAATGTGAAATTTAGAGATAACTGTGTCTATTTCTCTTTTAAATATAAATATGTATTTTTCTTTTATATAAGCTGTATATAAATGTATGTTTATATTAAATCTGTTCTCCCTGTGATTACACACAAGGGTTGATTGTAATACTGTTTAATCCATCAGTACTATTCATATTGTTTTTATATGAGGTTGAGTGAGTTCCTTTTGGTGGTTTGGAGGTGAATAACAAAATTTCTCTCCTGACTAATGATTAAAAAACATCTTTGTTATTCTTATGAGGAAACTATAGTTACACATTGGAACTGTACCCTGGTGGTTATATTATTTTTTAAGAAAATGGGGAAAGTTGGAGTCTTCCATTTTTCTCATGTTAGTTTCATGCTAAACATACTCTATGATACTAGTATGTCATGTTAAATTTGCAGGAGCATAAGCTGTTGCTGTGTATTTGTCTTTTCTTATTTAATATAAGTGCCTTCAAATTTGCAGTCATTCCATTTACAAGTAAATCATAAGATGGGGTTTAGAACTCCATGGTAAAGTATATGCTGAGCATATAGAAGGCTCTGTATTCAATGTCTAGCACAAAAAAAGAAAAAATCATAAATAAATTTCCTGGATCCCAGCTCCTGAGCATAGCCCTCATTGTGGGTAGTTACCTGCAGTCCTCAATTCAAAATATGTAAGAAGTAATTATTAGGCAAATATGGTTTGACTTGTGGTTCTAGAATGCAGTAGTCTACCCCGGGTAAGAAATTTAAACCTTAAAACCCTTACAGAACCTTGTCTCTGCAACTTACTGTGTGGTATAATGAAAGCAGTTTATTTAATCCTTCCTCACCTTTTCATCTTTAAAGCAAAAATAATATAAGTATCTACCTAGCAGTTATGATACCGCCTGTAACTATAGTGCTTAGCACAATATCCCATAGTAAGAACCCCATAAATTTAAGCCACTAGTAGTAGTAATAGTGTTGATAGTGGCAAAGATTAGAAACAAAACCCAGACCTGGGACAATGATAATGTTCAATAAATGACAACTGCTATTATTGGTGTGCACCCAGTGCCAAGAACCTAGTGGGCATACAGTGCCTTTGCCCCCCATACCTAGAGGGACCCTGGGTCTTATGAAGATGTAGAGATTTAACTGTGTCTCCAGGCTATTTGCTCTGCTCTTGTAACTGTGTGAGCCTCTCCTTCAGGCCTTTCTGGTCAGAACTTGTTGATATTTTGATGGGGCCACATGCACAAAGTCAGGGTGAATCCTTCCAGTGTATTCTATGGAATCGCGTGCTGGAGCGTCACTTACATAGAATGCCATGTGACCGGTACTCTCTGGAGTTACACAATGAGACCCTGAGTTTGTATCTATAGAAATAATCTCTAAATGATTGTTGAAATATTGCAGGAACTATTTTTAAAACAGCATAATTAGTATTATATTTAAAGCATATTTCTTAAATGGAAAAAATAGATATAAAATAGATGTAAGAAACAGTTTTCCTATTCTTATATCTGCTCTTTCTTTCAATTAATTTGAATTGCATTTTTTTATATTCCAGAGAAGTTTTTGTGACCTTTGAAGATGAGGATATCAGACATGGTAGTAGAAACATTAGTCATAGGTACATTTTTTAATTGTAAATTTAAATAGGTTATATCAATCAGGTTTCCTAAAAGGAAATAATGTTTAAAGGGTTTAATTGAAAAACCTATTTGCAAAAGTAAAATGGGCTTCCAATAATCAAGAATGAACGATCAGCCTGCAGCCTAACAAGGGTGAGAAGTCATTAGTACCCTCAGGCCTGAGGGGCAGAGGAAGGGAAAGTACCACAGCATTGGAGAGAGCTGGAGCTGAGAGGCAGGGATCCCTGTAAGTTTATTGCTTTAGAGGAATGCAATCTCATTTAAGGGGAGTGCAAGGAAATAAATAATCCACCCTCTCTCCTCTTCCCTAGCCCAAGTGGAAGCCAGAAAGCAAGGGGCTCAGGTCTTGCAGTCTGCAGAGGTGAGACTTTGGGTCACAACGCAAGGCAGAGAAGGTTAGAGAATGGATCTGAGGGGCAAGGAAGAACCAGAACAGACATATATTGTCTTAAATGATCTCACATTTTCTTTTAAGAGAATTGGTTGTTTTCTTCTGTTTTGTCTCTCCCCAAGGCATCCCACCCTGGTCTCTGACCACATTTATTTTTTAGAGTACCTGTCATGTAATCCTATGGCATTCTGATCACTTGTGACTTAAATTCTTTTCCAAATGTAGATAATTTTAAAGAAGAAAATTTTACAGAGAACCTACTTAATTTCAAGGACAAAATGAGCATGTTGGAGGCAATGCTAAATCATTCTCATAAACATAAACTATAGCTATTTCTGCTGTTTCCTCCTGTTACAACAGTGTAGTTCAGAAAGCACCGATTGCATTTCTCTCTCTTGCCAGCCCTTTACCAGGCTCCCTAAAAGTCATAAACAAAGTGGCAGACATGGTACTATCTGATGTGGAGGGGGTGGAAATATATTTATGAAGCAGTTACTCCATGTCGGGCACTGTACTAAGCACCTCACAGCTATTGTGTGCTTTAATTCTCACAGTTGGATGGCAGGGTATTATTGTCTCTTTTATACATGAGGAAACTGAGCCTGAGAGAATTTTAACAAGGTGCCTAATGTCAAAAGGATAGTACTGAGCTGGAATTTCAACCCTGGTCTCACTAGTTGACTACAAAGACAACCATTCATTCATCCATCCATCCATCCATCCATCCATCCATCCATTTGATAAATATTTAATCTAGTGCCTACTATGTACTAAGCACAGAGATATAAAGCCAACTAAGAGAGAATTCCTACGGAAAAGCAATTCATGGCCTCCTCAGAATCCCATGTGCCTTGGTGAAAAGCTTCCAGATCATGCGTTGGTCTGTAGTCTCTCCAAAAAGTAGAAAGTGAGGTCAGCTGCTATAAGTGAGCAGATCGATAGCAAGGAGGGTGATCAAGGAGACCAGATGTCTAAGAAGAAGGAGCTGTAATTAAAAGGAAAAAACTAAAAGCATTGTTCTATGAATACCCTACAGAGCCTTAGAAATACAAAACTACATCATTACTTTCCAAGCCTCACCACTGGCCAGTTTTTCAAATATTCAGGGGTGTCACAGGTGAGTTAAGCCATACCCATGTTGGACTTCACCTCAGTTTTGAAGATGTTAGGTCCCTTGGCTCCAAGGGAGGTGAACATGCTTGAGACTGTCCTGAGATCATTTCTGCAAATGGATGAGTGGAAATCCAAAGAACTATTAAAGAATCTACAAGTAGAAGTGGAGCTAGTGAGAGAAATACTGGTTAAGACTGCATTGGTCCCCAGGCAGCCCTGACCTGGCTGAGGTGCTGTGTTGTTCTGTCTAAAATGCAACTTTGATGTGGTTTGGAGCAGGGCGCAGATGGGTAATCTGTAGAGGTAGCTTCTTTTTCTTTTGCTTTAACTCTGTGATTGTTTACACATTGAAGGTCAGCATATTTCCTATAGTATCTCCAGGTCTAGTCGAATTACAGTTCTTAGAAGATATAAACTGATAATTAAAGAGAAATCCACTAATTTTGTGTGTCTACGTTTATGAGTCACTTCAGTAATTGTACACTGCATCACTTAAGTTAAAGATGTGACACACCGAGCAATCGATGTGATTTTGTTGGAACAAAGCAAACTAAATTATATGCTGTCCTAATCTTAGAGAAGTTTCATTATTTTGTGATGAGAAAAGACCAGAACTAAGCTTTTAGTTTTGTTCTAACCTTGCTCGTGTACAGTAACTCTTAGTGTTTGCTGAAGTCCCACTGGTGACTGCAACAAGCAACAGATGGGGATGTAGAAGACACAAAAATGATGTGTTCTAAAGGAAGGATCTGCAAGCTTGGGGTGTGGGTCAGTGGTAGAGCACTTTTCTCTTTTCTCTCTCTGGTATCACTTCATAGATTCTTTGACATCATGGCCTCAAACAGATAGCTCTATGTGGTAGTCACCCAAAAATGTATTTCTTTCTTTCTCCTGAGTTCTCCTTTTCCATTTCTATCTGCCCAAACTTCCTGCGGCCAGGTCAAATTCAATCGAATCCACACCCAAACCTGAGTTTTCCTGTCATCCCTCTCTCTGAAACTACCCTCCTCTACTTATAGAAAACCTGTCTCCTCTTCACTTTCCATGTCTAAATCCTTGTAAAGATGTATTGGGCTCATTTCTGTAACCACTTTTTTACCTTTCCTCTGCTTTTTCATTCTGTACTGCTATCTTATATCAAGTCTGTGTTCCCTTTGACCTGACATGTAAAAGATTTGTATTTCCTGGACATTAGCACACTCTAGCAAGACAGTGATACTGTGTTCTCTGGGATACAGGAGAGTCATCCCAGGAGACTCCCTGGGTTCAGCTGCAGTAAAAGTAATTCTTATAATGGCTTTTGGAAAAATCTTGAACCAAAAGTAGACATTATAAAACAAAACCACAGATGTTCTAAAACCCCAAATACCTTTACTGCATCATTGGAAAAGAAATTTATAGGGATATGTTTGAGTTAGCATTGATTCTAAGGCAAACTTCTGTGTACTGAAACAATAAATGATCACTCAAAACAGCAACATAAAATTTCCTTCTCTACCGAGATGAAATTTCCTCCCATGTAATAGGCAGGAGGAGAAAAACCTACGAAAGTTTTAAAACACTTTCTGTCCTTTTAAGTGAAATAATTTATGTAGAATTATGCATAAAATAAAGTCTTTTTTCTGTTCTATGGACTTCATATAGGAAAGCTTTCAAAAGATTCCTTGAAAAGTATCAACTTAATAGTTTCTTCTGGGACAATATTTCCTGGACCCTTAAGTTCACTGATACAAGCTGTGAAGAGGAGCAGGGCAGGAGAGAGTGACAAACTGCCCTGGAGTTTCTGTGTGGGGTAGCACTCGCTTAGGCCATGGCCAAGGGCGGCCGTGAGCAGAGCATTCACTAAAGCAATACAGGAGCTCATGACCCAACGCTCGAGTAACAGCCAGAGCTTTCTGGTGGGTGGGAGGTTTGCTTATGATTTTGTTGTTCTGATTGTACAAAATAATGGATTTCGCTATGGCATTTCCACACGTGTATACAGTTTACTTTTATCCTTTTCATCTCTAGGACCCTCCCTTGCCCCCCGCCCCAGTCCTTCCCTTACCCAAACAGTATATGGTTCATGTCTTTGTTTGTTTGTAATTATGAATATAGATTCTGCATTTGAGAGAAAACACGAGCTATTTTTCTTTCTGAGTCTGACTTGTTTCAATTAACGTGATGATCTCCAGTTCCATCCAGTTTCCTGCAAATGACATAATTTCATTCTTTATTGCTGCATAATACTCCATTGCATACACAACCCAAATTTTCTTTATCCATTCTTTTGTTGTTGGGCACCTAGGCTTATTTTGTGACTTAGCTATTGGGAGTTGCTCTGCAGTAAACATGGGTGTGCAGGTTTCTCTGTTGTATGCTGACTTACTTTCTTGAGGCATGTGCCCAGGAATGGTATAGCAGGATCACATGGTGATTCTACCTTCAGTGTTTTGAAAGCCTGCTTACTGATCCGTAAAGCCTCCCCCCAACCGTTGCTCCCCCTACCCACTAAGTCCTTACCAGCATTTGTCATTGCTTGTTTTCTTGATAATAGCCATTTTGACTGAGGTGAGATGGAATCTCAGTGTCATTTCCATTTGCATTTCCCTGATGGCTAAGGGTATTGAACATTTCTTCATGTATCTACTGGACATTTATACTCCTTTTGAAAATTGTTTCATTCATTTGCCCATTAATTGATTGAATTATTTGTTCTTTTAGTGTTTAACATTTTCGCTCTTTATATATTCCACATATTAATCCCTTGTCTGATGAAGAGCTGGCAAAGATTTTCTCCAATTTCTGTGAGCTGTCTCTTCATTCTGGTACTTGTTTCCTGTGCTCTGCAGATGCTTTTTTGATTGCTATTATTTCTTGAACTATTGATGTCTTCTTCAGAAAGTCATCACCTATGTTTATATCTTGAAGTGTTTTCCCTATGTTTCCCTGTAATAGTTTCAAAATTTCAGGACTTATATTAAGGTCATTGACCTGTGTCTCTTTTCATGTCAGTACCACACTATTTTTTATATTATTGTTATTTACTATGAGGTCAGGTATTGTGATACCCCAAGCATTGCTCTCTTTTTTTCTCATGATTATGTTGGCTGTTCAGGGTAAATGAATTTTTAAGGATTTTATGATTGATTTTTCTTATTGTGTGAAGAATGTCATTGGGATTTTGATGAGTATTACATTGAATCTGTAGATTGCTTTTGGTAGTATAGCCATTTTTACAATATTAATTCTGCCGCTCCATGAACATGGGAGGTATTCCCGTCATGTATGTATGTCTTCTTCAGCTTCTTTTATAGTTTCAATTGTAGAGCTCTTTTACCTCCTTGGTTTGGTTTATTCCTGCTTGTTTTTAAGCTATTGTGAATGGATTTCCCTCATTTCTTTCTCAGCATGTTGGTGTGAGTTTATACTGACTGAAAGAGGAGTATTAGTTTAGCCCTGTATGAAGCACTCTCTCCTACTCTGACATCAGCCATGAGCCTGGTGATAATAGAGTGAGCAGTCATGTGAGGATTTAGGACTAAACTGCAACAAGAGGAGGTCCAGTGAAAGGACAGGAAGGAGAATGCCTCAAGAGAGATGCAAACTCCAGAGTCTTCCAGGTGTCTACCATGGTTATCAAGAATGGAAGTAAAGCAGGACCAAAGATGAGATAGTAGAGACAGAGCAACTGGAAAGCCAGGGGTTCCTACTGTTTGTTTCAGTAGACAGCATGAACATGTGATCTACCTAAGGAACCACCGGAGTGAAAGGAAGATGTGAGGAAAGGAAGAGAGGGGAACAGGGCCCTGAAGTCCCAGCAAATATGCTGTGGAACTTCCTGAGCCAGAGACAGTCTGTGTTCCAATTCCTGTTTCCTTAACTGAATTATTCCAGCATCTGGGAAGTGTTCTTTATTCTCAGAGCCATGGATGCATGGAATTTGAGAGTTATGAGAAAGAGATTCCTCATCAGGTGAGAAAACCGAGCCTCAGAAAGACACTGCAAAAAGATGGTTAAAGATTTGGGAGTCAAATAGACCTGGTTTGAATCCAGGATAGTTATTGGCTCTATGGCTTTGGGGAGATTGGTATCACTAAGACTCAACTTCCTGATGTTCAAAATGAGGAAACATGCCTACCTCAGGCAGTTATGGTAGATAAATGAGATACTGTGGCACTTATCTCCATTTGGCATACGACATATATCATGTACTTATTTTTCTGTCTATTCTGCCTGACAAGTAAGGTCTAAGAAGTTAAGAATTTTTGACCATTTCTCTCCTGCTGTATATCAGTGTCTAGAACAATGCATGCAGGTCACTCACAAATATATATTCAATGATCCATATCAAGTGCTTATCATGGTTTCTGGAATCTAATGACAGTGATTGTTGAAAATAATGACAACCACAGAAAGCCAATATGCAGCATTCCTGGAATCCCTCTCCTATACTCACAGTTGTTTTTATTTTAATAATTGTATTGCCAAGTAATCTTAACAAGTAATAAATATTCTTACTAACCACCTCGCTGAAAATGTCTTATTTTTTAGTGGAGAAAAAAATTTTCATATTTTTTACTACATTTATGCTGGTTTAGCTGAAAAGAAGAAACTAGCCCTTTACAAATTGCCTGAAAATAAGCCACCCAGGTAATCCACCGATTTGTACTCTCATAACACTTTCACTTGCAATGTAATTTTAGACTTTTATCCTTCCTTTCATACTTTTCTTTTCAGGTACCTACAAAATGACCACCTCAGAACAGTACGGGACATGATGAATAATAGTTTCTATAAATCCCAGTATGAATTAATTGAGCAGTGTTTCAAAGTCATAGGCTTTACAATGGAGGTAAGTATGAAATACATTTGAACCTCTTTAGGGAAATACCTTTCAGTCATTACTAATAGCATTTATTGAGTGATTAGTGTATGCTGTGTCCTGGGCTCAGTCCTTTAAGTAGAATCTGATCTTACATTCTGTTTTTGGTATTGATTCACCTTTCTAATTCTTCTGTAATAATTATTTATTCATATTTTTCTTTCCTTTGGGAGTTATTTGAATTCTGTTAAGAAATCATCATCAATTTTGATGCCATAGACTTGCTTGCTGAATTTTCTTGTAATACTTTAAATTTTTCCTATATTTCTGACCTTGTTTCCTTTCTCACTCTAATCATATTTGGATATTGGCCTTGCTTTCTTTTATTTTTAATGGGGCTTAAAAAGGGTTTTCATCCTGTAAATAAATAAATAAGGAAAATATTTGGTTCCTCTATTTCTTCAGTTTTCTAATTTAATAGTGAAACCAGCATATAAGTTTATAAATTTTTTTCTGAATAATAAAATTTCTTCTGTCCCATAATTTTCATTATTTTATTTTTATGCCAAAGTACCGTATTTACTAGGGAACCCCAAAGGCTTTTAGGGAGGCTTTCAAACTCTGCTTTTAGCTGTTTACTGTTTGCTGTGCTCATTCAGATCCTGTGCAAAAGAAGACATCATTCTGAATGTCATTCAGAGTTTGAGATGAACCTTTAAGAGCAATAAAGACATGTACATGGAAATGTCACAATGAAACCCCTTTGTATAATTAATGTATGCTAATAAAAAAATGAACCCTTTCAGGAAATATTGTGCAATTCATTGAATTTTCATTTTATTTTTATAAATGGCCCTCCTACAGCTTTAAACAGCTTGTGTCTGCTTGAGAAGTTTACTGAGTTTCTTTCCTTAGGTTATCAGTGCTCTCCTAAGATCTTAAGCTAAAAAAAAATTCCTAACTCTGCAAATAATTTAGAAAATATTATCAGCAGGATATAAAACATAGAGATAACTGATAGAAGTGAAGCTTTCCAAAACTCATTCAAATTGAGTGCAATTTGTTATTGCACCAAGTTATTGAATCTAGTCATTTTATCGTCTGCTTTTAGGGCCCTGTTGACTTCTGTTTATCAGCTTTCCATCAGTATAACAAAATGTCTGAGATAATTAACTTACAAAGAGACAGGGTTATTCTGGCTCACAGTTTTGATGGTTTATCTGCCCCATTGCTTTGGGCCCATCATGTTTGAAGTACATGGTAGAGCAAAACCACTTACATCACAACCCAGAGAGCAAAGAGAGAGTAAGGGGCTAGAATCCCATAATCTGCTTCAAGGACCCCCCTCCCCCCCCCCAGTGACCTGATTCAGGCCTGCAGGAAGATATTCTGTAGATTTTTTCTATAGGGAAGGAAGTGTGATCTCTGCCAAGTGCATGAAGTTGGAGAAAAAGGACAAGATAAATGGATTTTCTTTTTATTGGAATTTAGGGAAGGTTGGGGTAAATCCAGGGTCCATAAAGGTCCTAGATATCCTCAGTGATCCATCTCCCTAGAGCTACCATTACAACCCAGAGAATTTCTAAAAAGATTCTTTGTAGAACAAGAATACATAGATTCAAGTAGAATTCCAGTGGTGTCATTAAGTCTCTATCTTAATATTTTAAAAAGAAATATTTCATTTTTGTACAATAGAAAAAGGTAGAATGACGGGACAAATTGGCTACTCTTACTTAAGAAATGATAAGTCAAAATTACTATCACATGAACTTGGTTCGACTTCACTTAGGAACCAGACAGCATCTGTAACAATGAATATTCAGAGTGGCCTGTTGCATCAGAATCAGAAGTGGCTATTTTGAGACATTTCTCAACACTTAGGGTCAATTTTTCTGTGTGGCTTTTCTCCAGAGCCAAGAGGAAGTCAGATTTGATAGAGAGATTCCTATCTGGCTACTTTTACAGGCTGGGGATTTAGACTTCCTGGCCTGAGATCTGAATGAACATTGCTACTGTTTCTAGATGAATTAATTGTTTATAGGAGCAGATAGGTGAGAGAGAGGTTGAGGAGCCGGAGGGACTATTTCTGAAACCAGTCAAGGAGAATTAACTCTTCTTGGGACCAGGGGAACATTATAACAATGAATTCCTCCAAATAGCTCTGTTTTATTCCAGAACACTGTGAATTGTAAGGGCAAGAGGGAAGAGCTGTACTCTAGACTCCATGGCATGCCAAGGTTGAGCACATCCCTAGGAAATACTTCATTGAATGAACGCCTGGGCTCACTTTGAATCAATTTTTAGTTTAGAAGTAGAGGCTCCAACTTGACCGTCTTCATTTCTGAATGAGGCATTCTCTCTGTTAATAGATGGAACCTACCTGGAGCTTTGAGCTCACAACTTGGAACTACCTACTCCATATCTGTTAAGCTGCAGTGCAACCTGGGAACTCTGGTGGTTATATGAGATGCCTAAGGTTGAAAGGAAATGACTGGGGCCCTTCTCTGTTGCTGCATTAAATAGATTTTAGCCTGTAAAAAAAGAACAAACATCCCTTGTTTACTATCTCTCTGAAGGATTTTGGAGAAGTTTGCAGATTTTGCTCTTAGCTCAACATGTTATTGTAAAGAACTTTCTCGAGGTGGGACAGCACTTGGTTCTCCCACTCCCTCTCCCTTTCCCTCTCCTTCTCCCTGGCAATACTGGTGCTTGAACTCAGGGTCTTGCATTTGCTAGGCGGGTGCTCTACCACTTGAGCCACACCCCAAGCCCTTTTGCTATAAGGTTTTGCTTTTTTTTTACTCCCAAATAACTCATATTTTTGCCCGGCCCAGCCTAAACCACAATCCTATTTATGCTTCCAGAGTAGATGAGATGATGAATGAACACCATCATGCCCAGCTTATTGTTTAAGATGGGGTCTCACCAATTTTTTGCCCAGGCTGGCCTCAAACCATGATCCTTCCAATCCTCACCTCCCTAGTAACTAGGATTACAGGTGTGCACCACCACACCCAGCCTCTGTACCTGGCTTTTAAAGTGGCCAATATGCAAATCTTATTCTCCTGTCTCTTTCCCCTATCCCCACCCCAAAAATAGGCAGCAAAAGCTGATAGGATGATGGATTGATGCATAGGGACAGAAACATCTGCTTGACCCATAATATGCTTTGCTTGTGAGTTGAAATAAAAATGAGGAGGACTGAATAGAAGTCGACCTGAGAGATCACTAAGGGCTTAGAACTTAATGTGGATGCCTCATGTGAAGGATAGAGTGGTGAATGTTCCTGTATGTGCCATGCAATCTGGATGACATCCTATCGTGCTGAAATCTCTGCTCTGTCCTTAGCTTTGAGGAACAAAGCCTGTAATGTCTAGAGTCAAAGATGACTCTGATCCATTTTGGGACATGTGTTTGTAATGGCTTTAGCTCTGGGAGGGGAACTCCCTGCCACAGAGGACATGAGCCTCAGACATATGAAGGTGATAAGTGACCCCTAATATGGAGACTGTAGATGAGCCTTGGGAGACACCCCAGGAAGAGTCCACATGCCACTTACTTCCATATGTGGTCCCATTTGCATGCTCTAATCAGGTGTCCCAGCATTGAAGACCACTTGAATCTTTTGCTCTCATTCCAGCTCAAGAGACCAAGATCTTGTCTTGTATTTCTGTTCAATATAAATCTTAGATTATCTGCATCAGAAGTAAAGATAGGATATTTGCTGCTCTGGCTGCCGTGGTGTTAGTTAGCTTAGCCCATTCCAACCATACCCCCAACCCTTTCCTGGGTATGGTCACTTCTGGATGCACCTTATTACTTCCCCCTGCCAAAAGTCAAATTCAAATCTGCTCCCTCCCCTTCCTTCATCATTTGTCCCCCAGTCCTTTCCCTAACCTGGTCTTTACTCCTCCTACAGCTTAGACCTGTGGAGACAAGCTGACTTAAGCCCCTAAAATATACGATTGGGATACATTGAATAAAGAGAAAAGCATCTATTCTTTTCCTGAATCCTTGGTCATAAGATCAGTGTTGCTATGAGTAGTTGCTCCTTGTAGACTGTGTTCTAGCCTGGTTAGAAAAAAACAGGAGAAGCAATTTGGATCTCAGGGTATCCTCAAACTGGAAGGATGTTGTTTACAAACCAAAGCAGCCCCTGATTATGACCAGGGACTGGGTTTGTTTGTGGTTCTTTCTTTGATTTTTTTTTAATCAGAAGAGCCAGTCTACTTCTTACCACTCCCTCTCCCTGAGTTACTATCTTAGAAGCAAGGAATCATTTTTAATTGCACTCAAAAGAGGCAATGTTTCACTTACATTTGGCTCCAGTACTTTCTCTTGCTTGGTAGAGCAATGTTTAGTAACATTGAAATGAAGCTAGTTTTGCAGTCAGCATGTGCCAACAAATATAAATCATTTATTTTAAAGTGTATGTTCCAAATTTAAACATACTCAGGATGTAGCTTAGGATGAAGGTGACTGTAACATCTGTTTCTGGTTCGGAAGCATAGCCATTGCTAAATATTTTATGAAAGTTAGTCCAGTTCTGGGTGACCCTCCTAAGATGTGGTGTTCTCCTGTCTTAAGCAGAGACTCTGAGTCAACAGGACAGGTGGGCCTGGTTTGGAGATGGTAGAATTAAACAGGGTAGGTGTTCATTTCCTTCTCATCACAGTACTGTTTTTTTTTTTTTTTTATGCTATCTTTCTGACTTTCTTGAATGTGGTCTTTGTCAGTAGCTGCTTCAAATCCAATTTGGAAAGAGGAAACTTTTGATATGAAATGAAATAGCAGGGTCCTTACATCCTCAGGCATAGAATGCTGTCTTCACAGTGCTCTGCAGTACAATTTCAGTGACTCTCAGTTGTTTTCCTCTCTTTCTCTCCCCCTTGCTGTCATTGGTGTTGACAGCATCAGCAGTGCACAGGTCCCTTTAAATATTCTTATTTAATTCACATGTATATTTGTGATTCAGCATAATCCAAAAGAATAAAAGGCAAGTCAAAATTAGAAATTCTCTGAAAATAGCA